ACTTCCAGGTTTTATATAACACTGTCCATGTTGAGCTGCTAATGCTTCTGCTAAATTGTTGTCGCTGCTAATGCTTCTGCTAAATTGTTGTCCAAGCATTCTACAGATAATCTTTTTGGTATTGGTCTAAGACTTTCCATCATATCATAAAATATTTTGTTGCACTTGTTCATTCACAACCTTCCTCTTATCACCAAATTTTCAAGTATCATTACCTTTTCATAAATCCCAACATATTACCTAAGGTGTGATGTTCAATAATATTCTATGGGAATTATTCTTAAACTTGGTGTTAAACTAGGCACTAGATACATTAGCCAGACATACAATGATGTTGAATACCATAGAGCTCTCAAAATATCCCATCTACAAGAACATGAAGATTATTTTCAAGGTGGCCCTTTGCACAACAGTAACACTTTAAAACGGTGTTGATTTTTTTTTTTCTAGCATTCGGGTCTCTGGCCCAATCAGCATCAGCGTACATACGAAGTTTGTAGTCTGAGTTGCGAAGAATTCGAAGACTTGAAGTTGATGTGACATTAAGATATTGTTATCCTTTTAACCGCCTTCCAGTGTTCATCAGTAGGTTCATGCATAAACTATGACCGTTTATTGACATCGTAAGAAATATTAGGCCGTGTGAATGATAATTATTGGAACTTACCAAGGGTGCGCCTGTAGAGTGTAGCATTAGCAGGTGGAGAACCATCAGTTTCCCGAGGTAGTTTACTGCAGCAGATTGGTGTCAAGACTCCTTTACGATCTTGCATATCCAATTCAGACAAGGTGTCAAGATTGTATTTGGATTGAAAGAGAATAAGACCATCCGACACTTTTTTAACTTCGACACCCAGAAAGTAGTCTAAGTAATCAAGATCCTTGATTGTTTGTGTGTGGGTTTCATGAGTGAACTGGGTTGGCTTTGTTGTAATATGTTGATCGTGTTTATTGCCTATGTTATCTATTTTTCTATGATTTTGTCACCCATTCATATTTTATATCACTGGAGTTGGCCGATAATCCTACTAAGTACACTTTGAATTTTGTGTACTGATAGTTCACTTGCTCTTTCTCTTTTTGAGTACATGATAAATTTCAGCGGCTTCTTCGCAACCTCAATTGTGATTCTAACACTTGTTGAATCCAAATGTGAGCAACTTCTTCCGAGATACTATAGATTCCTCTGTTCTGTCTAGTCCATTTTCCAAACTTAGACTCTTGTTGTTTTGGGGTTGCATCCCACATCCTAGACAATGTAGATGTTTTGGTACACGACTTTTAATTTCTAGGGTGTTACTTCCCCAAGGTTTGGTGATAATGATTTTTATTTATGATATTAGTTTTAAGTGTTGAAAACTACTCCCTTTTTGTTGTTTAGTTGATGGCATGTTAGTAGATAGCTGGTTCTATCATTCCAGGCTAGAGTTGGTGCCTCTCATGATGGGTTGAGTCATAACAGTTTTGTTCTTTTTCTCTACGACTCCTTTTTGATGAGGAGATCTTGGAAATGATAAAATTGTGAGAGTAGCCTTGCTCATTACAGAACTTTTCAAATGTGTTATTTTCAAATTCTCCTACATATTCACTTCATATAGAAGTAATGTAGTATCCAAGTCTCTCTGTACTTTATCATAGAAGAATTCTAATTTTTTCAAAGTATCGTCTTTATGAACAATAAATATAACCCAAATAAATCAACAAAAATAATCAACAATGATAAACGCACATATTTTTTCATCGATGCTTGTAGTTTGAGTGGGACTGAAAACGTCCATATGAAGTAGCTTCAAGGTCTTAGAAGTACACACAATATCTTTTGAAATAAAAGAATTTCTAGTTTTCTTACCCTTTGGACATGCATGACAGATATGGTACTTGGTATGATCTTGCTTGGGCAGTCCAAGTACCGGATCATGTATAGCTTGTTGTTCAATAATACACATGCATGAATGACCAAATTTCTTATGCCAAAATCCAAGGATGTCCTGATGCTTTTAATGGAGTCTAGGACATACACATTTTTGTCTCTAATTCTAGGTAGTAGAGTTTTTTCGATGTTGCCTTCAATAACACATCATGGTTTTTTGAATCTTACTTCAAGCTTCGCGTCACATAGTTGATTTGTTCAGAAGATTGTATTTTAATCTATTCACAAGATACACATAAGTAATATTGCAATATTCATTGAAAGTAAAATTACCTTATACCAATTACAATTCCTTTAGAGTTGTCTCCTAATCGTATGTTTCCTCCTTCAATAAATTTAAATAGGTTTTTGTTGCCTGTCATATGATTCGAACATGCCAGTAATTAAGAAAATATCATTTTCCTTCTGACTTCTTGTGGTGTTCCTATAATAAAGAATAATTACTTTTTGTTAGGTACCCATGTTGACTTGAGTCTTTGGGGATAGATTTGAAACAAGTAGAAATAGGCTTGAGTCTCCACACCCATCTCGGAAAATAAGAAAAATGAAATTTGAATTTGTACTGTTTATGACTAGATTTTTCATAATGCGTAATAGCAAGACTGAGAAAAGGGCTATTCAGTGACTGATATATAAGTCGACTTTCTAGAACTAGGACTGTCATTTGGGGGCTCAAGCTTAGTTGACTTAGTATTGAAAGTCAACTAATTTATCCCATCAACAGTATAGTGACACAATTATAATAGATCATACCAGGGTAATTTGTCAATAAAAGATTTCTTACTAGTTGACTTATTGGTATATATGAGGAATAGGGTGGGTTGTCTCCAAGCTTAATAACTCTCCAGACTCTCACATCCTAAGATTTTATGAATGTCTCCATTTTTACTTTCCAACGAGAGAAATGTTTCTCATTGAAGCAACGACGTATTATTTATCAAGTTCCTTTTTGAAATAATGCTTCAGTAGTAACTTAGTTTTACATGATCTTTTCTCACTTCTTGTTAGGAAATAAGTTGTGAATCTTGCTCTGATAACTATTAAAAATGCAAGAGGGTGTGGAGGTGAATTGTCCTTATTCTTCCTTTTTTTTGTCGACTGACTGTTTCCCGTAGTTTACTTATGATACATGCAAAACATGTCAACACACATGCAAGAATAGAAATGTGGAATGTAAATTTGACACCAAATATTTTTATGGATCCAAAATAGATTCTAGTCAAGACTGCAATGATGTTATCTTCTTGTTCTTTGAATTTGTTCTTGTACAGCGTTGGAGTGTATTTCCTACGACTATACTCAGTCAGAATCTTTTGATACATGAATAGCCTTGCAAATTATATTTTTCTCTCCTCTCTTTTTTTATTGCAATTCGTAACCATAATCCATCAAACATAAGGCCACAATAGATGGCCCAGAATTCAGCCATATTCTTGCTTGTAAAATCTAGATTCTCAATGAAATACAATGTGTGTTTAAAAATAAGAGCAAAGAACATGACATTGTTTAGACTATTTGTATATCTTTCTTCTCCTTACCGTGGCCTTTTTTTTTTTATAATAGTGGAAGAAGCCATTGGAGTTATTGAAGAGAAGGAAACCAAAGAGATTTAATTCCTTGAAAAATGAGCGAGTGATCTTATTCCCAGTAATAAAGTGAAGTCATGATTGACTTTCTAGCTAAAATGATTTTATGTGAATCTTCTGCCTCAATGTTTATTCTTTCCAAGAGAGAGAGAGCCAAATTGCATCCCTTAATTGCTTCCTTAGTTACCGAGATTTGATTGGTTCCTTAATAAATGTCTCATTGAGTTCTTCTTGGTACATGATTGATTGACAAAATTGCTTCCTTTCATGATGTCTCATTTAATATTTTTTGGTACTTGATGGATTTCACAACATACCTTGTTTGGCTTTTCAGGTGCTTGCTTCCTTTTTCTTTTTTTTGATTAATTTTCTTTGATGTTCCTTTTTGTATTACCTGCACAATTTAAGCAGTCATCATTATAATCAACACTAGGTTTGGAGGAGAATCTACAAAAGAAATTTGAATATGGAATATTTATGACCAATTTGAGGATCAAGTTCAGTTGACTTGTTATTGCGAGTCGGCTGGTTAATTTATCCTGTCTGTAGTAACAAATTTATAATAGATCATGCTAGGGGCAGGTTTGTCACTGAGATTATTTTTTTTACTAGTTTACTTATTGGTATGGGTCGAATGGTTAGATTTGTTATAGATCATTGTTTCTGGTTTTGATAGTAATCTAGTCCTTGTTCTTGTGATAACTTCTTGTTTGTTGGATGCCTTTTAAGTATTGTCCATATTTTTCTGTGTCTGGTCTTTCTTATTTGGAATGTTTTAGCTGCATACTGGGTATTTTTTATCATGTTTCTCATTTCCTCTTTTCCTTGGCTTACTAATAGGATTCTTGCAAAAAGAAAATGGTATGTTTCATTTTTCTATTCATGATGAAATAGCTTCTCTTTTTTCTTCTTCATTTTTGTCAATATTAGACTTTGGACTTGTGACATGTTCTTTCTTTTTCTGAGTACTACCCTGATTCTCTTCATGTTCATGCTCTTCCTGTTTTGTTTTCCATCAATATTATTGGTAACTTTAATTCTTTTTTTTTTTTCCTCCTTGGGCATCTTTATCCTTAGCTTTCCTTGTTGTTTTCCTTGGACATTAATAGCCACATTTTTGTTGTTCCTCTTTCATTTGATAACATCTTTGCTTTTTATCTTTTTGCTTGGCGTCATGTCACTGCTTCCTCCTATTTCTTGTACCTTTTCCCATTTACTTGTTTCACTCATTAAATTCCCTCTTTGTATGAGTCGCACCTGCCCTACACAAGAGAGACGACCTTCATTTCACAGTAAATTAATTGAATTAAAAGAATTATATACTTATATTGTTAGCTATTATTTACTGTATCTTTTTGCATTGTCAAAGACATGTTTGTAATAAATAATTACCGATTATAGTAGGTAACTTAACAATTTTTTTTATTTTGCAGCACTTAAGAATATCAAGAATCATCTCAAGTTCTCGTGGAATATCTTTTGGGATGGATTCAAATTTGGCACCATTGAGTTCTACTCTTGGATCTCTACCAGATTCCTCTAATGATTGCTTGTTGAGCCAAATTATATGTGGATCTCCCATTGGATATAATCCTCCTTTTGATCAAGAAAAGAATTATAATGAAGACAATAATGTTCGAGCACAATTAATAAATAACAATAACATCCCAATTATGTCCTCATTACCACAAGAAAATTATGGTATTCATCACGATAATAGGGAAAAATCAATTTTTGATATTGTTGATGCTGCTATGAAAGAAATGCTTGTACTTTTGGATGTGAATGATCCAGTCTGGGTAAAATCATCAGGTAACGAGAGGTGTTGTATACATCGTGAGAGTTATGATAGAAAATTTCCAAATTCATATCGGCCTTATAAATCATCCACTACTCGAATTGAATCATCAAAGCATTTTGGAGTTGTGCCAATGACTGCAATTGAGTTGATCCCAATTTTTCTTGACCCGGTAAGTTTTTTGAACGGTTTCATGCTATAACAATTTAATTTACGAGTGATATTGTATACTTTGGGCTTAGGGTCATACCACTTTAATTAGAACATGTTAGTAATAGGGTCTTAGGTTTACTTTGTTATATATATAGCTCCGTCTCATATATTTAGCTGAGTTAAAATTGTGTGTGCTAGCCACTTTTTTGATAGATTTTTGAAAAGTAGACAATGTTTAAGAATTTATTGAAAATTGGTCGCTTTTGATGTGGCAAGACACCATGCGAATGTCATGGATTTCAAACATGACAAAGTCAGGAATCCAAGTTAGTGTTACGACTTTTTGAAATGTAGCACACTTACGTCATGGATTCAAAGTCGACTAGTTTTGAAAATTTTGAATTTTTTTCAACGACTTTAAATTTATAGTTATTTTTTAATAGGTCATTTTATTTTTTAATTTTCTCCCATGCAATATTTTGATTATGAAGAGTTTAAATGGAGCGATAGACATGACCAATGAGCATTTGAATAGAAACTCTAATTACTTGAAATTATTTTGAGGTGTAACTATTATTGTTTAATCATTAATTATATACTTAAAATGATTGATTTTGTATATGCAGATTAAATGGATGAACATGTTCCCCACTATAGTTAGAAAAGCTAGGAATATTGATGTTATTAATCCTGGGAATATTGAAGGCTCTATACAATTGGTAAATTATTAATTATTTTGAATTTTTCCCCCTAAATTCAAATAAATATTAAAATTGCTTCTTAAAATAATCTAATTGTTTTTTGGTTCTTGAAAACAGATGTATGAACAATTGCATATTTTATCTCCTTCAGTGGAAGCTAGAGAATTTTTCATCATACGCTGTTGTAGAAAACTTGATCAAACAACATGGATAATGTTGGATGTTTCATATGATTTATTCAAAGAGATTCAAACTCATGTACCTTCTTATGCTTGGAAGTTTCCTTCTGGTTGTGCAATCCAAGATATGGGCAATGGAGGAAGTATGGTAAGAATAATTTCTCTCTATATATTTTTTATTTAAAGAGGTAGCTTAATGTATTGACCTCCTTCCATACCGGGTTCAGGGAAGGGCAATACCATAGGGGCACACAACTTTATCCTGCATTTCCACGAGAGATTGTTTTCACAACTCAAACCATTGAAAGATATATCACTATTTACATGTAGCCTATTTTCAAAAAGATATGTTACATAAGTAAAAGTTTACATGTACCGATGCTTGTAACATGATGTCTATTTTTCTTCATATGATATAATTATAATCAAACCTATATTGATTCTCGATTTATCAAATTTTAAATCTTTATATTATGTTGTTCACGCTTCAAATATTTATCTTTGGACATGTCTTAGGGACTGATTAAAGTGTCCTCATTATTGGGACAGAAAATGATCTTTTTGTTACATGAATAACGTTGCACATTCCCGCGAACAATATTATAAGTTGTATTTATTGCATTATTTTCAATAACTATACTTTTTAACATATGCTATGAGAGTCGTCAGACCTATGAGTATTCTTAATTTAACAATGTTGAACCCCGACCCATATTATATTGTTCAAGCCCTAGATATTTAAATCTAAGCAAAAGCAGATGAATAGTTTTGTACTTTTACTGTCTTAAACAATTTTCACCTTATAACATACACTATTAAATATATGAATTTTCAACATATGTTCCAATCAAAAACATTTCCAATGATCCAACTAATTTTGCTTTCGTGATTTCTTTTTCTTGTAGGTTACGTGGATTGAACATGTTCAAGTAGATGAAAAAAAACACTTTAATGGTATCTTTAAAGACATGTTGTGTGGTCATCAAACATATGGAGCTGAAAGATGGATTGTTACACTTCAAAGGATGTCTGAGAGATATAATTTTGCAATGGGTGCAACATGTCCTACTAAGCATGATCTCAAAGGAGGTTCGATTTTATATCTCCTTCTTTATATATTTATGATTTCAAATTTTAATACATTAAGATAAGATAAGGATCTATGTAAAAAAAAATTGTCACCTCAAAGCGGCTTGAATTAAAAAGACAAAATCTTGATGGAGCTCAAATCCATCTCTTTTTCTTTGTTTATTTGAAATATTGCCTTCTTTTTAAAAGTTTTCTTTTTCTTCAAAAGTGTGATTGGTGTGAAAGAATTTTTTTTAAGAGAAAAATAAGTTTTTTTTTATGTTTGATTAGAGAAAATTTTTTCCAACTAAAGGGTTTGAAAATTGATCATCTCTTTTAATTTTGGGTAAAAGATATTTTTCTTGTAATTATCTCAATTTTTAACTCGAAACATGTCCTTAAAGTTTTGTTTTTTTAAGGATATCTTTGGTATAATGGTTTTTTTTTTAAAAATATCAGTCATTTCTAGAGAAAATATTTTTCTACCAAAGAAACGGGAAAAATGATGTCTTTGCACATTTATTTTGGAGAAGTCATTTTTATTCATAATTATCTAATTTTTTTAACGTTATATCAACACTTTAACAATACTAGCACATTACTGTCATCTTTTAACACTCGAAAATATCATCAAAACACTATCTGGCTTGCTAATATTATTATCAAGGATCAATCTTCATTAAATGTTTCAAAATACTCTTTTTTTTCAAAATAAATTATTCTCTAAAAATTGACTTCTGTCACACTAAGCACGCCCAATTGATAAGTCCATATTAATTTTTTTTTCCAGTGGTTTATGATATTCCAAAAGAGGTGAAAAATTTGATGAATCTGTCTCAAAGGATGGTGAAGAGTTTTTGTGAAATCCTAAACATGACAGATAAATTAGATTTTCCAACTTCATCACAATTGAATAGTGGAGATAGGGTTTCTATAAGAAAAAATATAGAAATTACCCAACCACAAGGCTTCATTGCCAGTGCTGCTACTTCTCTATGGCTTCCCCTTTCATTTGAAACTATTTTTAATTTCCTCAAAGATGACAATACAAGATGTCAGGTATGTATCAAACCTTCTTTATAATAGCGTGGTTTGTTCAGATATTTATTTTAGTTGTTCAATACAAATTTTGTTATAGAGAACATGTTAATATAACATAATATTAATATCGGTTACGTTCCAAATAAAGTTAAATGTTATAGTGAAATGTTGTTGTTAACCATAGGTCTGTCGGTATGCATCTTTGCGCCGTATATACAATTTTAATGCAATGAACCAAACGTCCTATAGAAAATATTTTTGTAATATCCATCCCTTTATAACTTATTTAATTTCTAACCAAACGACCCCTAAAAGTACCCTTATGGATTAACTTCTTCAATCCCTGTGTTGATTTTAATGTGAAACTTGCAAAAATTTCAATAAATATGATAATCGGAACTCATTTTTTAAAATTAGAATAAGTTCAGTGTTAAAAATCTTTGAAACCATTAAGATGAAGTCCTCAATTCTATTGATATTTTAATATTGGACTCGTTATCTACATGTTCAAGTGTTAGCATTAATTGTGCATGATTTATTTTATTTTATTATATGGTCTTACAATACTCATCTTACGAACTAATTTTTCAGGATCAAGTAATGAGTTTGTTTATCATCTGATTTTGGTTTTCATTTTTTCTTATTAGTGGGATGTTTTGTGCGGTGAAAATAATGTTATTGAGAAAGATAAAGTACAAACAGGAACTTCTCTAGAAAATAATATTACAATCATTCAGGTATTTGTCAAATTTATTTATTTATTTATAATTTACTATTTTCTTTTTTAACTATTAGGTAATGATATTTCACTATATCTGAAGAATAAAATAAATGTACTTATGATTTGTATTCACATGTAAAAATATCAAAATTTCTAACTTGTATCTCCCCCCTCCCCCCACACTTTATTTTTTTAATCTATGGTTATTAAATTAAAAGACATTTTTTGGGGTCCAATTTCACTTTTGAGTTGTAGTAAATTAAACACAGGAAAACAAGACCATCTTTTGATGCGTTTAATTTATACACTTGCAATTTGAAAATCTTCTTCACATTATCATAACTTAGCCTATTATAGAAAGTCTTCATTTGTCATATTTTCTGGATTAATAATTACACTTGATTTTCTTTCTTTTTATTTTTTAGGTGAACTAATTCTGATAAATACATATGACTATAAAAGGGACAAGAATTGATTATGAAATTCATCGCTTATATTTAACAAATTAGCTATAGTTAACAACATTATTTGAAAATACATTATTCGATGGAATTAGAGATGAATTTTTTGTTGTTTAGCGTAAAAAATTGTCCCTCAGAAATTCTTGGTTCTTCTTAGTGCTTACACTATTTTTCCTTAAATTGTTGTAATGTATGCAGCCTTATATGTCAATAGAGAACAACATGTTAGTTCTTCAAGAGTCAAACATCGATGACATGGGAGCCTTTTTAATCTATGGAACCATTGATTTATCAACATACAATTCAATTGTCAATGGAAGTGATGCAAAAGAAATTGCTATTTTGCCCTCAGGTATCATGATAAGTCATGATGGTCGCCTCGGCTCAGATAGGAACAATAATGGAAATGTGCAAAATGGTTCAATCTTGACAGTGGCTTTGCAAAAATTAATTTGTGCCGATAATAATTTAATCTCTCAACACCAACAAATGGAGGCAGTGACTTATATTCATAACCTTTTGAGCTCTATAGTTTTAAAAATCAAAGCAACATTATGTTACTCTGATTAAATATTATGATGGTTTAATTTGATGTTGTTATTTTATTTTATTGGAGATTTTAAAACTTAGACAAATTAATATGTTTGAAGATTGATGTATTCCCTTTTTTATGACATATGAAAATTTCAAGATCGTGAGATATGTCATTGCTATTATTTTTTATATTGATAGACAAAATTTTGAAACTATTTATTTGTTTGATTATATAAGTTTTAGTCTCTTTGGCCAAAGTATCAAAGCGCTTAGAATTGTGTGATTTTGAAAAATATTTTTAAAAAGGTAGATATTTGTCTTTAGGTCATGAATTTCCTAAAACACCTTTTCTGGTAATTATGTTTGTCCTTTGTCATGTAACAATTTCAAGCGCTTCTGATTTTGCAAGACAAATCTAATGGAGTTTTATATATATATATATAAATTTTGGTAACGTACCTTGCACGTTTGACTTCTATTACTGTATAAAATTTATATAGGCCTAACTCATGTATAGAAAACATTTGTAATATCAATTTCCAGATAACTTAAAAACAATAAGATATACATATCATCATATGCATACAAAATGAAAAAGTTTAAACAAAGCAATCTATTAATAAGAATAAGAAAGAATAATCGATAAATTAAAAATTATATAAGAATTATAAGATGATAAAATACAAAAGACGAGTGGACTAACATTTTATGTCCAATTTATAAAGGAAGAAATTGTGTACTTCAAAAAGTTGAGAATATGAAAGTAATAAAGAGAAAAAAAGATAAATTTACCTGATTTTGTAACTGAATATGGTTGTATTAACAATCATAATTAATGTGTGCCTAATTATGCCATTCAGTTGGTTGGTGGAATTTTCAGTTAGTTAGTGATGTCATAGTCGGTTAGTAAACTGATTAGTTAATTAGATATTTTTTTCTCTTTCTTCATGCTAGTTGTTAAATTCACACATGTATATAAGTACTCTATGGGTGATCAATGAAAGGAGTGAGTTTTCATTCTACCATATCAAAAGTTTTTCTGTGTAATTTTTTTTCTCAACTCCCAGCTATGGCTTCCATGGTATCAGCCATGATTGAGTTCTCACCATTTGTGTAAACTTTTATATGGTATTAGAGTAAGGTTAGTCGATCTGTTCTTCGTCTTCTGTTGAATACATTGCTACTTGAATCGCCATTTTGACTAATACGAACTTTTGAGCTTTCTATATCAAAGCTCAAGTTTCCTTTTCTATACTGGTCATCTCTAGATCTTGGTTAGATCATAGATTTATTTTTGTCAAATAATTCACGATCAATTTATTGAGTATGTCCATGGTTGTCGACGATAACACATCCACTTCAAAGGGAACTAACACCTCTAGAAATGATACTAGTTTTGCTCTATATGTGCATCCCTCAGATAGCCCATGGATGATGCTTGTTCCTGTTCAATTTTATGGAGCGGGATATCGATCCTGGAGAAGAGGATTCATGCGAGCTCCATTGGTGAAAAACAAATTGGGCTTCATCGATTAGAAGTTGTGAGAAGCCAAATGCAAATTCACCTCAATTGCGCCAATGGCAAAGGTGTGATGACATGGTAACATCTAAGATTTTGAATTCATTGATTAAGGAGATCTCAGACAGTGTGGAGTATGTGAATGATTTTGTTGAACTTTGGAAGGAATTAGTAGATAGATACAATCAAACCAATGGGGAAAAATTATACCAGATAATCAATGACCTCACACAAGGAGTGTAGGATGTCACTGTCTACTATACAAGGATGAAAAGGTTGTGGGAGAAATTGAACACTTTGAGTGTGAAAAATAAATGTAGTTGTGTGTGTGGTGCCAAGAATGGTATGCATAAGGCAGAACAAGATAGACGTTTGATCCAGTTTCTCATGGGACTAAATGAAGTATACACAGTAGTGAGAGGAAAAATTCTCATGATGAATCCACTCTCTTCCATGGGACAAATTTTCTCCTTGTTGATTCAGGAAGAGAAACAAAGAGAATTCAGACCCATATATTCAATCTCTTTGAATGCAAATGTTCTTGACAACAAAGGTCATTTAGGAAGGACTTCCAGAACAAACTATCAAGGAAATAACTAAGCAGGTGGTAGTAGCAGTTCAGGATTAAACTATTATTTAGGCAGCAGTAACAGTTCAGGAGGAAACTACTATTCAGGCAACAGTAGTAGTAAAAATGCTATAGTGTATGACTATTGTAAGAGGACAGTACACACTAGGGATAAGTTTTACAAGTTACGTAGGTATACTCAAGGCAACAACAATCACAATTACAAGTCAAGGAACTACAATGATGGTCAGAACTTTAGGCAACAAAGCTCAAACATCAAAGGAAAAAGAGTGGTGGCAAATGTGCATGGTGCTGCAAATGGCATGATGTCTTCTCGTGGAGAGGAACAACCACAAGGTTACAATCATCCAAGTGCTGGCTTTACTCTCACGCCTCAATTTCCATTAAGACGGACTGATACCCGATGCCCTAAAGGCCCGAGAGAACCAACATAGCTAATAATATTTCCCCCATCTCTCTAGTATGTCGAATTACTTCATTATATGTTTATTACTCCACTATTGTGTTATTATCCTCGTATTTGCTAGTATAGGAATGGAGTTTGCAATAACAAGTCTGGTGAATTCTCCTCTTAGTCAATTGAAGTCAATTGTATCATTTAAGCTCATAAGAACTCCATTGATGTTACATAGCTCCTTATGTCATTGTCTTAAAGTTATTATTCTCATGTCTTCTACTACAAGTCCATAGTTCCAAATCTCAAAAATGATTATGACCACCAAAACAACAATCTTAAAGATTAAAGAAACTAAGTGAAACAATATGTATATTTATGAGTGGCAGCCCAGGGGAAAATGCCTAGCATGGGTCGATTTCAATTGGTATAGAAGGGTGGTAGCTCAGGGGAGAAAGCCTAGCATGGGCCGATCCTGATTTCATTAGTTATGAGGACAACATCCCAGGGGTTAATATATCGAGCATGGGTCATCCTCTTCTACCACTAATCAGCTAGTCATTTGTATCACATGCCTTACAAAGATTATGATGTACAGAAAAGTAAAGAAAAGAATGTAACGTGCATGATCCCATAAGAGTAAACAAATGTGGTCTTCTTTTATGATCTATGCACTTATATATTTATACTTGATTTAATATGATCCCTTCTTTTACATATGCTATTATATTATATATTAAGTACATTTTTTCATACTGAGGCCCTCGCAGGGGACGTTGCATTTCATGCTGCAGGCACATGTACTCCAACTAGTAGACCTCTTTAGTAGGAGCACATGTACTCAACTGCTATTGGTGAGGCTCCAGGTTGATTCGGGGCTTACCATGTCTTTGGCACCTATTTTGCTACTGTATGATAGTTAAGGGTAAGGTGGGGCCTTGTCATGCCCTAAACTAAAGGTTTCTATCTTTTAGAGGCTTTGTAGACTAATGTATATAGTTCAATTGCATCTTGTCTCTTAACAATTTGTGGCCTCAACAACCAAGTCTTGTATATAAGTTTTGGGTCTACTTGTGTTGGTTAGTATTTTTGCATGATATATGAACTTGTCACAACTTTAAAATTATCATAGTTATATGCACACGATGAGTTGATATCACATATTTCCTTGACGCCTCAATCTCCAGAAGATCATGGAGGGAAGTAGAACCTCGAGAACCCATGTTAATGCTACAGAGCAAGATTTAAAGAATGCGGTCTAATTATTGACTCACATAGTTGCTGGCCAAGGGCAAAGACGGTCCAAGTGTAGGTACTAGAGGTGAAGACAAGGTTACTAGTGTGCAGATACATGATTTTCTTAATTTGGACCCTCGATCATTCACCGGATTAGATCCTAATGAAGGCCCGCAAGAATTTATCGATCAAATCGAGTGGACTTTTGATGTTATGCATATATCACATAAACAATTAGTTGAGCTAGCAATATATAGATTAAAAGGGGTGGCCATTTTGTGGTACGAAGCATGGAAACAATCTAGGGGTACATGTGCACCCTCAATTATTTGGAAAGTGTTCAAAAAGAAGTTCCTTGACCATTATCTACCATTAGATATTTGGGAGGCCTGTGCAGATCAATTCTTAAATCTCCACCAAGGGAATATGAGCGTGAGGGAGTACAATCTCCAATTTAATTCCTTGTCCATGTACGCTCCTACTGTTGTAGCTACTATGGAGGATAGAGTTCATCAATATGTGGATAGGTTAGATTCGTATCAGGTTAGAGATTGTACCATTTCTTCATTGAATAAAGACATGGATATAACAAGAATGCAAACTTTTGCATAAAATTTGGAGGATCAAAGACAAAGAAGAAGAACCCAAGAGTCGGAAAGAGGGCGGTCCAAGAGAGTCAAATCCACGGGGTAGTTTATGTCATCCCAAGGTGAGTTTAGGCCTCGATTCTTTAATAGATCACCTAGGCCATCATCTTCCTACTCTATAGGTAGTGCCCCACCTTGGTTTCAAGAGTCTAAGGGGAATGAGTTTGGGCAAAGAGGTGAAAGCCAAGGTTCACGAACAGCGGGGCACCAAGAGCAGGGAAGTATGAGCCAATCAAGACATCCTCGACCATCTTGTAAACAATGTGGAAAAAATCATCTAGGTGCATGTCAGTTTGGGACAAATGCTTGTTATTGGTGTGGTACACCGGGTCATATGATGAGAAATTATCCTCATAGGGGCATGAGTGGTGTGGCACAACCTACTAGATCAGTTGTTGCATCATCATCATCATCACCTTCTTTAGGTAGGGGACAGATCCCTACTTGTTGTGGTAGAGGAACTAGGGGAGCAGCTAATTCTAGTGGAATTTAGAATCGCACATATGCTCTAAGGGATCGACAAAATTTGGAAGCTTCACCAGATATGGTTATAGGTACATTGTCCATCTTTTCACATATTGTATATGCATTAATTGATCTGGGGTCTACATTATCATATGTTACTCCATTGATTGCTGGGAAGTTCAAAAAAACACCAGAATTATTAGTGAAGCCATTTTAAGTGTCTAACCGATTGGTGGGTCTATTATAGCTAAAAGGTTTTATCGTAATTGCATTGTAATTGTTTGTGATCGTGATACATTGGCTAGATAGATTGCATGCTTACTACTTGATTACTATTTTGGTAAGATCAAGTAGTAGCTCAAATTGATTGGTTAGCTACTAATACTAGTCTTACAACTTATTTTATTGTAGATAATAAGAAGAGAAGGAGCTTACGTCATACTTTTTGAATTGTATAACAAGGTATGTAAGGCTATTCGATTCCATATTCCTTGGCATAAAATCTTATAATTGTGATTAATATCAATAAAGTGAGTTTTCTAAGTTCTATTCTTAGTAAAAGAAACATGGTGACAGTTTACGATCTCCAATATAGCTAATACTATTTCCCCCTCTCCCTAGTGTGTCGAATTACTTCATAATATGTTTATTACTCCACTATTGTGTAATTATCCTCCTATGTGCTAGTATAGGAATGGTGTGTGCAATAGCAAGTCTTATGAATTCTCCTCTTAGTCAATTGAAGTAAATTGTGCCATTTAAGCTCATAAGAAATCCATTGATGTTACATAGCTTCTTATGTCATTGTCACTGTCTTAAAGTTATTATTCCCATGTCTTCTACTACTGGTCTGTAGTTCCAAATATCAAAATGATTATGACCCCCAAACACTACAGAAAAAGTGTGAATTACATGGGGATTTTTCTAGGGATTAGTATGAAAATCCGCATGAAACATATTTTCCAGCAAATTTTTCTACTAATCCCCAGGAAAATCTCCATGTAATTCACCCTTTTCTTGTAGTGAAAACAACAATCTTAAAGAATAAAGAATCTAAGTGAAGAAATATGTATATTTATGGGTGTCAGCCCAGGGGAAACTGCCTAGCACGGGTCAATCCCAATTGGTATAGAAGGGTGGCAGCTCAGGGACGAAAGCCTCGCATGGGTTGATCCCAATTTCTGTAATTATGAGGACAACATCCCAAGGATTAATATACCTAGAATGGGCATCTTGTTCTACCAATGATCAACTGGTCATTTGTATCACATGCCTTAAAAAGATTATAAAGTACAGAAAAATAAAGGAAAGAATGTAACATACATGATCCCACAATAATAAACAAAGACAGTCTTCTGTTCTGATCTATGGACTTATATATTGATATTTCATTTGCGCCTTTGTTTTACGTGTGTTATTGCCTTACATATTCTGTACATTTTTTTCGTATTGACGTCGCTCGTGGGGGACACTACATTTCTTGCAGTAGGCACATGTACTCCAGCTATTAGACCTCTTTAGTAGGAGCACATGTAATCAACTTCTATTGGTGATGCTCTAGGTTGATTCGAGGCTTACCGAGTCTTTGGCACCTATTTTATACTATATGATAGTTAAGGGTAAGGTGGGGCCTTTCCCGCCCTAAACTAAGGTTTTCTATCTTTTAGAGGCTTTGTAGACTATTGTATATAGCGTCTTGTCTCTTAACAACTTGTAGCCTCAACGGCAAGTCTTGTAAATAAGTTTTGGGTCTACTTGTGTTGGTTGATGAGTCAGAGATTTGGACTCATTTAGGGGATTATTTATAATGATTTAGTGTCCTCAAATGCTTGTTTTGTGCCAATAACTGATGTAAAACCCTTGATTTCCAGGTATATGGATTGAGGAACAATACAAGGACACTAATGTGCAAAAAGGAATGAAGTAAGCTGAAAGAGTAAAGAAAAGGAAGCCTGGTGATCGCCAAGTCTACTTGGCAAGTCGCCAAATCGCTTCTTGACCGCCTAAAGTTCCAGTGTGCAAAGCTCTGAAGGAGAAAATCAAGTAGGTGAGAGAAAGGAGCAGTCGGAGGATTGCCGAGTGGTTCCGCGATGCAGTGTTGGATCTCCTAAATGTTACAGACCTTGAGGATGTTGAAGGCCAAGACAGAAAGGCGAAGAAATTGGCTAAAGGGCGCATCGCCGAGTGGATCGGCGATCCCGACTTACTGCGCCTAATGGCTCTTCGCAGCATATTTTTGGTGACTATAAATATATTTTTGAACATTTAGTTTAGCACCTAATATCTATCTATCTTAGCATATTTTAGATTACATGGAATTTTCAGTAGGAATTTTGAGTATTGAGACAATTTTTTCTTAGCTTTGAAGAATTGAGGTTTTTCACTTTTGAGAAATTGGAAGTGGGTCTTTGAGATTCTTCAATTTGGACCTTTGTAAAGATGAAATTAATCGTACTCAATTGATGGAAACACAATTTGGTAACAATTTCTATCTTTTTATGATATCTAGCTAAAACCCCAATTCTTGGGGTGTGATTATGGGATGATTTAGTTTATGGTATTGCTAATTGTTAGTTTAAATGTTGTTTAGAAGTGATTTCAATCATTAATTGTGGTTCAATTTAAGAATTGTAGTTGCAAATACTATTCTACCTTTGTGTTTTTGGCTTACTCGAGAGAGAGGTTTTAAAAC